AAAAAAATTAATATAATTTAAAACAAAAAAATATTATATTAATAAATAAAAAATATATTAATTAATTTATTGGATAAAAAATATTTTTAATTATCAGAAGAATAATAATTACTAAATATTATTAAATTAATTAATCACTATTTAAATGGGTAAAAAATTTCACTTATTAATAATAATTAATTTCACTTAAAAAAGTTAAATAAAAGATATATATATATATATATATATATATATTAATAATTAGTTGTATTAAAAAAATTATATATATATTTATTAAAAGATAAATATATATATATATATAAATATAGTTAAAGAATATATTAAAAAATATATATGTAATTTGTTAGCAAAAAATATTTACTAATTATTATTTTATATTTTTTATTCAGGGTGTTAGTAGACCTAGACAATCTGCCAGGAATGACGACGACGAGGTTAATGAATATTATCAAGGTTCTGGCCCCCGACACACTAGAAGTCGGGGTGTAGATGCGTCCGTTCGTCGGGGTGGAGAGGGTCAGACAGACGATGCTCCTTAACTACAATATAATTTTGTAATTTAGAGGGATTATACAATTAATTAGTTATGAAAGTATTTGGATTATTTTTATTATTGTTATAATCAATTAGTAGTGATATTAAATAATAAATTAGTTTAAAATTGTCATTGTACTTTATTAATGTAAAATGTAACGTTTCTAAATGAGTTTTTTTTTATTGCAAAACATAAGTTGAATGATCTGTAACACGAATTAAAAATGAAAAAAAAATTATCATTGAGAACAATCGAAAATCACATCAATGGTACTTTTTTTTCATTTTTAAGTTGAATGGTTTTTTTTGTTTGCTAAACTTCAGTTGAATGATTTTTTTTTTATTCTAACGTCTAATTTATAAAAAATTATTTTGAATATATAACATAATAATTTATAATAATATTATTTTATGAAAAAAATGGTGTCCGGCCGTTGGGGCCGTCCGATTTCGGCGGCTGGACAATAAGAATTTTTTTTTTTACTTTTTAGAAAAATGGCAGGAGCAAAAATGTCCAAGGAAAGGGGTAAATAGTAATAGGAGGACGGTCAATAGTAATTCCCTAATAATGGGTACCAACAAAATTTATGGGCTGCTCGAGTGCCAGCTTTACTAAGTTGATCGACGAGGATTGAAAACAAATTGGTAGTTGAAAGTCAGAAAATGTAGCCTCAAAAAATATCTTCTGAAAATTATGACCTACAACGTACTTTGTCCACATCTTCAGGCCACATGAATAATTTCTTAACATAGAATCTAAAGCTGCAAAGCAAATTGCCCTTTCCTCCTCATATCCCATTCTGCATCCCTATTGGCCCCAAACATTTACACATCACACAATATTCTCAAATCAACATCTTCCTAATATACCCTCACCAAATATCATTTCCCATCGAATGATATTACTTGGCACGCCTTGTAATGACATGTCTCTCCCTCACTTTTACATAATCGAAGAAAAAATAATAAAATAAATTAAAAAAGAATCACTAATTAGAGTGTTTTTAGCATACAAATCTGGGAAATTTGTACTTGGGGCAAAATATTATTGATTATCAATGTTTTAAAAGTGGTTAGGCGCTGGACTTCAGCCTAGCACCTAGATGGTGTCAAAAATATATTAATAAATATATTTATATTTATCATTCTAAATAAGTTATAAGATATGTTATATAAAATATATTAATTAGTATGCTCAAATAAAAGGATTATATAAAATCTAATGCATTCGTAATTATTTTATAAATTATGATATAATATTATAATTATTAGCACCCGTACGAGCTTCAAGATTATTGTCTTCTTGAAGACGGGCCAGTCCGAAAGTAAGCTGTGAACCACCATTGATAGCAGAGTGCTTTTATATAATTAATATAATTTTCATGAGTATAATTTAAAATATTTTTTTTAAGTTATATTAAAAATTTTGGAAAAAAAAAAATATGTGGGTGTTCAGACGCCGCGCGCCAAGAACGCCTAAGCTTGAGTAGCTTCATAAGTCCTGGGCACAAGTCCGTTTAGGCCCACGCCTATAGGCCAACTTTTAGTATAGAGCCTCTTAGGTGTATGTTTGTGTGTGTGTGCACGTGCGCGCACGTGTGTTGATCAAGGGCACTGAAGTCATGAGAACACTGACCTTAGGGGAAGTGTACGTCGAAATCTCCTACAAATCTAATGGTAAGACAAATGTACTTTATAATTTAAAAGCATAATTTTATTGTAGAATGTTATATTTTGAAAAAATAGTGCTAAAAAAGTATGACATTTCATAATATAAAAATACATTTTACATTCATAAAGTACGATGAATGGACTTATCTAATCAATAGACCGCATAAATAAAAGGTACAACTTCTTTTACACTTCGATCTGAAGATATATTAAGTTTTTCACCCTTTTCACTTTGTAAAATTCGATGGCTATGCAAGTGGTTAGCATAACTGCCGCATATTCAACCTATAAAGTGTGAAGGTAATGCGAATGCGTTGGCATTTTTTAACTTCCACATAATGTCATTCGCTCACTCATCGCATAATATTTTTCTCACTTTTTGGGTGACAAATTAAGTTAACTTAATGTCTTAAGACAGGGTGTGGATAACTATTTCCTCTAAATAAAATTGCGATATTTTATTCTATAAATATGTATTAGTATGACGAGTTAACAATTCTAACTAATGCTTAGATCAGTTCTTACAATTTACATGCATACTTGATTAATTTTGTAATTAACTAGAATAAGATTTAACCCCAAACACTTATTTGCAGTTTTTTTTTTCTCCATAAAATATCTCAAAACGACATAAAATAATAAGAGTACAAACCGGAGAGCCCACTAGCTCTTACATACCCAAAATAAAAAGAAGAGAACCACACCAATGGTAACCTACGTACAAACCCACGAAAGAACTAAAGGCAAATACACCGATTTGAACCCTTTAGCACATCCAACACAACAAACTAATAAAACCCCAAAAATACCAAAGATATATGTACCTATATGTATCAAAGGCAGTCCACAGATCAACAAAACCACATAAATTGGAATCACAATCCCACAAACAAAGACACGTAAACTTGTCGCATACCATACAATACAAACACTTTCTGATGACGTGTAGACCAAAAACCCCATTCATTTCTCTTCACATACAAAATAAATTAAAGCAGCTTTTTGTATTCCTCCCCTCTTCTTTCTTTCTATTGAAATCTCATGTAATACGCTCAACTTCACACACAGTTACAAAAAAAATCTCCTGAATCTGATTCTTTAATCAATGCAAAAAAGCACAAATATATCAACCAACATCTCCTCCACCACCATGCCGCCTAATATTCCCCCAATTTTACCCGTCGAGGAAAAAAAAGAATCCGAAAACATTAATTCTTTTGCCGAGAGAAAAAATCCCGAGTCGGCGGGTGAGAAAATTTCCCTAAAACCCCGTGACTCAGTGGAGCTCTCCCCGGAATCACCGAACGAGCCATTGCCGGAGGTATCGGAGGATAGCGGGAGGGAGAGGCTGAAGAGGCACCGGGTCGAGATGGCGGGTCGGGTCTGGATACCGGATATGTGGGGCCAAGAGGGTTTTCTCAAGGATTGGGTCGATTGCGCAGCTTTTGACGCGTCCTTGGTGAATAGCAGCATTTTGTCGGCGAGAGATTCTTTGGTGGAGGAAGGAAGGAGGGCAAACTCCACCCGATTGAGAGTACAGAATGGTTAAAGTGAAAACTAGTAACAATCCATTTGTTTTTCTGT